ATGGGCAGAAGCTGCTTATTTTAAGGAAAGCTTTTTCTCTAGTAGTTGCTTCTAGGCTGCTAGGTATTAGTAAGTTTTTCTGTTGATAACTTGGTTGTGTATGGAAAGCTCTATTTATGGTAGTTATTGGGGGGGAATAAGTAATTATTACAAATGTCCCTATGGTTGTGGTGGAAACTCCTTCAAAGAAAAAGGAAAAATGTAAGTATTGTAAACCACTATTCTTATTGTGTGTTGAAGGGATTTTCAGTTGTAGCTAGGAAAAAAGAAATACTACTCATCTTGTTCCTTCAAGGGAACAGCACCTCCTTTTCTATGATATAGTATCTGTTTAATTAGGGGCTCAAATGGCTTTCAGTTATAAAGAGAAATAAATAAACTGAATGGTGTCATGCTCCTTCAGGCAACTGCATTCAGGGTCAGCTTTATTTGGTGCATGTGGGAGAGAAAACTGTGCTTAGGTAAGAGTAGAGTAAGGCTGAATGAAAGGATGCAGACTACTTAAGGGCACAGTCCTGGGGATACAGTGATAATGTGCTTCCCCCCCCACTTGCTAAATGTATTTAGAATGAGAACCAACACAGGGAATCTAATGTTTCTATTTGCTCAGACTTTTCTGCAGAGAACACTTGTTTCATGTCCAGAGAGGAGAAACTGTGATTATCCTCCTCACACTCAGAATAAAGCAAGAGAAACTTGATGTTGAAAAAAAAAAAAAGACTTCTACTAGTAAGGGCGAGAGATCGGATTTGTTAATTATTGGCAAAACCAGGCCAGGTTCTGACTACACTGGCATGCCATCATTCATTAAATCCTCCTGCTTTTTACTGCTCTAACTATGATTACAAATAGGCCCAAGCACTTTGTGTTTTTCAGTACCCACAGTTGTGTGGGTTTTTTTTTATCATGAAGTTATATTTAGATGCCCATTGATGTTGTTTTTCATCTCGAGTGCTTTTGGGAGGGCGAACAGCTGATCATTACACTGAGTTTGCTTGTACCCATGAGCACACTTAACCTAGAGCAGCAAATAGTTATTGTATTGCATTTTGTTTTGTGCCTGTGGGCACACTTAAGTCAATATACATGATGGCTAGTACCACAGTATTGCATTTGTCTACACCCATGGGCACTCCGAATTGCCAGTGTGAGGGAATCAGTGAATTAACTAGTGTATGCCCACTGGTGTAGTTACTTCAAGAGCAATACTACTGTTAATGTCTTAACTTAAATCTAATCATAATGTAAAATAACAGAAGCACTGCGAGAATCTCGGTTCTTACAGAAAACGGATAGTAACATTGGTTTAATTCTAAGCTTGTTTGTTGCCAAAACTGAAGAACAAGCTCTTGGGGCAGAAGCCTCTGTTGTGAATAATTGCCCTTCTTTCCCTGTCTGTTTTACAGTCAGCAAGCTGCATCGAGCTCATTGCTCTCTCCAAGCTTTTACCTGCATGAAATCTAGTTCAGGGTTGATGCTTACTCTGCTCATTAGCGAAATTACCACCAGATGCTTTGTTAGATAGAGGTCACTCTGGCTGAATGCCATGACAACCTCTTCAAATAGTGTGATTGCTAAACTATAGCTTTGACTCGAAATGGTGCAGTAGGTAATGTTGACATGCTGCAATTACTGCTCAGTCCTGACGGCATGTTCAAACAACGCTGACTACCTCAGTGCTGACTTGGCAACGCCAGAACTGGATTTGGGATGTGTACTGTGGATGACTAGAAAACGTAGGAATTTCAGGAGAACGCCTACATGGAGCATTAGCTTATCTTGTTAGCCTGTGTCTAGTCAGGTCCTCTCAGAACTCTGTTGAAAAATGGTAATTAAATGATAAGCCTGAGTCTAAAGTTCCATGGGCATAGATGGGCTAGGTTTCAGTGGTGCTGGGAGCAACTGGAGAAATCTTAAGCGGGAGTCTTACGTACTCAGCAGAATACATTAATGCAAGGGACTGGATGAGCCTTTCCTAGCAGCAGGGCCATCTTTCCTTACTAATAAGACTTATTTTTACTTCTTTTTAGGAGACTGGTGCAAGGAAGGCCAAGCTAGATGGGCAGTGGGAACGCAGCCCACATGTGGCCTGGATGAGTGTCACAAAGGAACAGATGAGGAGAAAGAATGGTGAAGAAGGTAGCAGAATTATTTTCCTTATAACAGCATGGTCCAGCCCACTGGTTAAGTCTCAGTGCTGAGCTGGTTAGAGCAAGCTCTGCAGTGCACTTCTCTCTGACGATGGCAGGCAGGACTTTACAGCTCTGCTAAAGACAACCCTGTGTGGCCTCCTGCTTGTATGTATCTTGTGATGAAAACTGATTGTGTTACAGATGTCTCTGCTGCAACTTGCAACTAATGTGACTGTGATTGATGGACCAGATAAGCTTATTATTAAAGTATCAGAATAAAATAACTTGGAGATGTGGAATGGCAATTATCCAGATACAAAATGATTGATTAAAACTGTAGAACAGTTACTAATTTATAGCTTTATAGTATTATCGCTGCAAAGTTAAAAAAAAGTGTTTATCTAGAGGGTTATGCTACTGAAAGAAGATGATTAACCTTATAAAAGGAACCAGACCAGGTGGAAAATACCATGTTCCTGGCACCGTTGTTTTTTCTTCTCTGTGTGGTTCCTTTTGCACGCAGACTTGTGTAAGGTACGTGAGCAGAGGAGGCTCGGCACAGTGGCCTAGCTAGCAGTCCTTCCTGGGACTGCAGCTTAGGAAAACTTATGCAGACTTGCTCTTCTGCACGTTGTTTTGTTTGGGTTTTTTTTTTTTTTGAGTCAGAAAAGTGGCAGCAAGAACACGAGTGTCCCTTAGCCATGATGGCTTTGGAGTTCAGAAGTGTATAATGATATTTAACCATTACTCTTCCATTAAGTAAGGGGAGATTGGGTCTAGAGGGGATTAAGCCATGTTACAGCAAACACTTACTAGGTATTAAAGGACAGGGCAAGAACTATTGGCTTTTTTTAACTTCAAGCGATCCTACAAAATTGTTTTATAAAAGGTCAGAGCAGGGCAGTGAATGGGGAGAAAGGCAACCCCCCCAACATCTGGAAGAATTAATGAAGACATCAGTTCTGAGTGATGAACCAGTTGTTGGGGAGGATGCCAGACTAAGACACTAAATGTCATGTACAAAACTGAGCGGCCATGAAACTGTCTGCATTAGTCAGCCTGGTTAATCTAGTTCTTCCCAAGATCCTCGGGGAATGCCTGCAGGAGATCTGCAGATGGAGGCATGTGGGGTCAACCCTTCCTACCAAGTGCAGAATGATGCTATTCAAGTGGCAAGGAGCCTCAGCTGGTGGTGTTCATTCACACCTTTTGGTGAGAGGGTTTGCCTCCTGTGCTAATGTTAAAGATACCTTAAACGTGGGCACTTCCAGGCTGATGCTGAGGTACTGCAGCGATTGCCATGCTCGGCATCTCTAACGTTATCATCGTGTTCTGTGAAAACGGGATCCTAAAGTGCGTACGGCATCTCCTCCTGCCCAACGGGAAGAGCCCTCGGTACACCCGGGATCGTTCACGGCAGGCTTCTCTCCAGTGATGGAGACCCCTCATCTTCCCTGAATAAACTGCTCTGTTGGTTAGGACTTGTTAGGAAGGGTGTGGGGCTTTTGGTGGGGTGGGCGTGTGCGTGTTTGTTTTTAACCTTAAGCCTTTTTTTGGCTGCAAATTAAGTAACTTCTTGTCTTTCTGGTAGCGGGGATGGGAGAGAAAGAGATGGCCGCGCTTTGCTACGACTGTTCTTGCACACTGGGGAGCCTCCGTTTCCCGAAGCCTCCCACGTTCCCCGTGGGTTCCCGGGGAGCCGCCCCGGGAGGCGCCGGACTCGGCAGGCGGGGCCGCCAGCGCGGCCGGTGTTCGCATAAAGCCCTGCGTCCCCTCTCCCGCCGGAGCAGGACCTGGCCGGCCTCCGTGAGCCACCCCCGGTACGGCCGTGGGCTCCCTTACAAACCACCGCGTTTACCTTGACCGACGGCCGCTACCGGGAAAGCGGGTCCTTGCACCGCCGTTCCCGAGGCCAGGCTGGCGCTGGCTGCGCTGCGGGTCGGGGGCT